ACCTGTTCCCTCAAAGTTTAGAATCAGGGAAATAAAACCTGTATCATACATCTGGTAAGAAACTTGCTTCACAGCCAGCCTGCTAAATATGTTGAGAATATCACAAGTCTTAAAATCTGCTATGAAGTTTTCTTTCCCCTACTGTTTTGGTTTAAAATGTCTTTTATTTTATTGAAGGGTGAGAGACTCTCTACTTTAACTAGAAATTATAAGATATAAGAAAGAAGTTATACTATTACTGCTGATTTTAGATGGACTTTATGTGATTTTTAATGACTTGCATGATGATATGCAGTTGGCTAATTCATAGTTTTGTAACAGTAGGATATGCAATTTTATATGGTAAAGTTACATATTACATTTGAGATGCAGTCATGCCCACATTATATAAAATCAAAAACGCCTCTTTTATTCAGTTTTTCCAGTGTTTCATTTTCCACGTATCAAAGGAAAAATTCCACAGTTTAGGACATTTAACATCAAACATCACAGGAGTGAAAACTGCCAGACAGAACCTTCACAGAAGCTGTAAGAATTCTAACCATGAACTGAATTTTACTTGCAGTCAGTTGCATTGAAAAGAAGTAAAAAGAAGACTTTGAAAATTTAATCAAAACCAAAAAGAAGCCTTTTTTTTTTTTTTTAAGGCAGTACTTTTCTTAAGGTTGGTGTTTTTATAATAATGTTTAAATCTCTGAGATACCCCCTTAACTTTCCCTTGATATTAGTAACTTCACTAGGAGTGCTGACATACCTCTTCCTTTTCCATGGGCAGCACCTACTGGTACAGTAATTCATGTTTAAAAAATTATTCTTAAAATACATGAGGAGAAAAACAAGTTTAGCAAAGTCAGGATGTATTCTGATTATGAGAAAAAAAGTTCAACCTCTCCTGTAAAGCACCTGGACTTCCTCAAGACAACAGAGAGGAAAATACTGCTACTATACTGACACGTTAAAGAAAGTACCTTCTGCAAAGAAATCTGCCTACAGTGGTGACTTTAAAGACCACCCTTACACAGAGTTCTTTGTATTGTTAAAAGCCAAGCAGTCGGGACTCAGAACAAACATGTACTGATCCACATCACTGTGACAAAAACTAAAACCTAGTTTAAAACAAAATATTTCACTTTCTAAGCTTTTATCCAAGGACCACAGGAAAATCCAGCCTGGAAGGGACCTCAGGAGGTCTTTAGTTCAACCTTCTGCTCAAGGCAAGGTCAGCTCTAAGCTCAGACCAGATTTCTCAAGGCTTTATCCAGTTGGGTCTTGAAATTCCCAGGAAAGGAGACCGCACATTCTCTCTTGGCAACCCACTGCCTGACTGTCCTTGTGGGGAGAATGTTTTCCTTATATCCAGTCTGAGCCTTTTCAATTTTAATTTATGTAATTTTCTCTTGTCCTCCTAAAACACATCACTGCTGAGCCTGGCCCCATCTCTGTAACTTTCCTCTAGATTTTGGAAGGCTGCTATTACATCACCCCAAAGCCTCTTTTCCAGACTACACACACCCAGTTGCCTCAGACTCTCAGTGTCAACGTTTTTAAAAAAGCTCATTCTCAGAAAAGGTAATGCAAATTCAAACATTTATTACAGAAGTGATAACTGTCGAGACAACAGTCTAAATGAAATTAAACAAGAGGACATGACTTGTGTGGTACTGATCTCTCCAAATCCTAGCGGAAATTAATACAATCAGAACCTCGTGGAATTAAACCCTATTTGTACGCCGGGGAAAACAATTAATTTTCTGTGCTTACTAGGAGTAATCAAATATTGTGTGGGAAATGCTCTAATAGGCAAACTGAATTAGCAGTAGCTGTGTACCTACTGAGAAGTCATATGTTGTCCTTCATTAATGCTTCAGGTATAATCTAAAATAAAACCTGGAACACACTGCACAGGGAAGTAAATGAGTAACTCTGTTGGAATGGTATTATGACATTAGCTTGCAAAAAGAGTAATAGACGATGGGCCAAAATGCACAAAAAACTAGATGGGTGAAACTTCTTGATCATTTCAAAGACAGTTTCAACTGTTCCCATTTAACTTTCGTACCATTTGATATACACGCTGAAGGGCAACATCAGGCCTTCCCATGAGTATGGCACTGGATTTTCCTCTGCAACAACATATGGTTACACTTGCTAAATTGCCTTTCTGCAACAGGTGCTTTATTTCACGATGTGGTATCACCTGCCCCTTTAATGTATAAAGTCATAAAGCAATGAAGCTGTTTACAAGGCAAATGGGGGCCCCCATTCACTTCATCCTATGTAAGAATAAGAGGTTTCAAGCTGCAACCATGTAAGTGACTGTGAATAACAAATTAAGATCACATAATACTTTGATTTATGCTCGACTACCACCTAAACTCAGAAATTTAAGATGAAGGTTGGGCATTTGATCTCTCCATTACAGCTATAGTGGCAGCTGGATGGCCACAATTTATTATCAAAAACCACAATCAGCACTGAGTGCCTTGAAGTCATAGAAGCCTCTGATGAGCTTATCTAGCACCATGAAGTACATAACATGTCACTGGCTGAATGTGCCAGTCCTCATGTGTGGCCTCAGAAGGCTGATTGTGCAAATTTTACAGAGAGAATTTACACCTTACTTCCTTCATTCTAACCCTGAGGGTCCTGCCCTAAAACCTACTTGTAACCTTCAGTTCCTTATACATTCAGCTATGATTATTCATTTAAGAAAATAGCATAGCAAAAGGAAGCAAAGAAAATGATGTCTGTTCTGGTTCTTTAGCATGCCCACATCAGATAATTTGTTTTAAAATGGGTGAATAAATTCAGAGCACCTGAGTGTTTACACAATTAATGAACTGATTTATCTCCTTTCTTAACACTATCTTCCCGGGGATAAACTGATGACTAATAAAACCCATTTGAATTATTTTCACCTACCAAATTCTACCACGGATATGGCCTGTGGATTATTTTAGCAGGATGCCAGCTATCTAATGACTGCAACCTTCTTTTTTACCTATGACTTTGCAGCAGATTTCAATGCTCAATTTCCTTGGGAAAAATCAGCATATCCACTAGATCACACAGTGCTAGGAGTGCTAGGCCTGTCAGTAACAATCAGTGCATTAGGTGGACAAGGCAGGACTGCAGAAACCAGAGGCGTAATTCATTCCTTATACATAACATTACTTTAAACAGAACAGAAAGAGAAGGTTGTGGTTGGGCTGCAAGCAATTCCAAGGAAAAATGGAGGGTTGTGACTAAATGCAGGAAATGATGAAGGGAGAGATGAAGGGATAAAGAGGTGTAATAATGTTGTTGCCTACTGATACCTTTATAAATGTCTCGGGTTTTGCATAAATATGATAATCAAATCATAGTTTTCTGTACCTTTGCTCTACAAACACACAGTGACAGCAACAGCCCTGCAGAGCTGACAGTCTGAACAGAGGAGGCAAATAAAGGGGAAAGGGCTCAGACAGAGCTGACTTGCCCAAGGCCACATCACTTCCAAGTGGCAAGAGTGTACTTTCACTGCTGTAGCTGTTGCTTCCCTCTGTGTTTCCTACAGTAAAAATAGAAAGCTAGGTTTGTGCAGGTGAGAAGATTCCAATGAGGCGTCAGTGCTGCTTTGAGCAGACAGGTTGGTAGGTCTATGGCTTGGGTTTTTTGTCAGGCCATGCCAGAGCATTCCTACCAGGTGCTGGACAACACCCTGGAGACCGGGATCACGCTTTCTTTCCTAGGCACACAACAGGTACATCAGAAGTGATCCAGAACACCACAGTCTGCCTCACTCCTTGACATGCTTCATTCTGAGTATTGTGGCTGTGGAAGCTGCCTGGGGACGTCTCAGACCAGTTTTCTGCCACTCTCCAGTTGCAGAGAGGGCGAATGGGGCTACAAGAGCCTCCCGAGGCTTCTCCAGGGGCTCACGTGTCCCAGCCCTGCCACCATCAGTGCCACCTCCACCAGTGCCAGAGCCACCCAAGGGAGAGCAATGTTGGTGAGCCCTAGGATGAGATGTGAGTAACACTTGCCATCACCGGCAGAGAGGAGCTGGGCAGACACCTGCCAGTCACATACCTGTTGTGCCCATATTCCTTCTGCTGTAGTTACCCAAGGAAAGCAAATAACTCAGTCTTGTTTTTTCCTCAGCTGTTAACTTTGGCATCAGGCTGCAGCTGTGCAGTTGAGAGTCAGCCCAGCACAGACCTCTTTCAAAACCCAAGAATTATTTTTAGTGCAGCTGTTCCACAGGGTGTATCTTGGCTGTGATGTTCCCTCACTCTAATTGAAAAGAACCCGTGCTATCTCCGTGCCCTTTGCCTTGACAAGGAAGACTTCTTTTTAATCCCCAGATCAGCCTCACTAAGCAGAAGAACATAATAAACATGACATTTATAAAAGGATAGTCCCCACAAATGCTCATCTGCCACATCACTGTTTGCTACCGACAACTCCTCTTCCATTATTTAAAGTTGGTTGTGAAATTACTCAAAACCTCTAAGCACATGTTACTGGGTTTTACCCATAGTCTATTTTAGTACAACGGCAGGCATAAGACCTTTAATAAACTCACAGACACGGAAAGCCTTGATGTCTGCCAGGAGACCATACCCTTTGCAGGTTTGTTTTGCTGGTTTGTTGTTTTCTTTTAAGTAATTGAGAGTCCTCTGTTACAAATAAACAGAAAGAAATCCCCCCCAGAAGAAATTATACACCTTCCCTTCCCCCCTTCTCCATCCCGACTCATTATTTCTCTTCCACCGAATTACCTCTTTTCCACACATGCTGTCTGCACGGAAAGAGGTACAATCACACACATCCTGCCTCCGAACCTCAAACAATACATCTTTGGGGGACAGAAACCCCCTTCGCAAAGCACCAATAACAAACCGGAGCATTAAAACCTGTAAATACAAACCGATCAGCTACCGATTTGCCAAGGAAAAGCTCCGCATCCGCCGGACGGATGGACGAGGGGATCTCGGCAGGAAACCCGCTCCGCTTACCTTGATCATGCTGGCTGGCGGGGGGGGATGTTCCTGCCGGGATTTCGGCGGGATGGAGCCGGCGGATCTCAGATCCCCGGGCGCGGATGCAGCGGCGGCGCTGGGCGGGCTCGGAGCAGGGCGGTCCACCCGCTGCTGCTGCTGCTGCTGCCGGGGATGGGGCTCCTGCTGCCGGGGATGGAGCTGCTGGCGCGGCTGGGTCTGCTGCCGCCGCCGGGCTCCGATTGCATCAGCGGGCGAGGGCGGCGCGCTCGGCGGGCGCTGCCGGAGCTGGGCGAGGGGCTGGGGGCCGCCCCGCCCCGCTCCTCCCGCGGGCACGGGCACAGCCCACGTCCCGCATCCCACCTCGGGAAGCACCGGGGGGAGCCGACCTCCCGCCCCCCACCTCTCCACAGGGTCATCCCGTCCCTAAAATGGCCCCGCGCCGTGCGCTGCTCCTGCCAAGCGGAGACAGTAATTAAGTGCTTTTGCTGGGAATTGTACTGAGGGCAACACGCTCTCAGCCCTCTCTCCCGTAACAATCGTTACCAAACTCATCCTTTGCTGTCTCTGAGTCATTTCCTCTGTCTGGCGCACACACACCAACACCTCGCAGCTACCCCTCCCATCGTCAGCAAGCCTTGGGCTCTCCCGCTGCCTTCCCCATCCTCCGCTACTTCCACGGCTTGTGCCGAGTCCTCCAGCGCTGCCACCCAACACAGGAGGGGCCCACCCGACCCGTTTTGTTTGGGGACAGCTGACGTTTCACAGAGGGGCTCTGGGTCCTCTCCTGATGATCCGTGCTCAGTCCGTGCTGGGCAGAACCTTCACAGCTCTTCACAGCCCAGCTGGCCAACATTGAGCCTCTACCGCTGATTGCTGTGTGCAGATACCTGCCAGGCAGGTCACCAGCACCTGAAGACAAAAGAATAAACATCAGAGGCCGATCTGCTCTGTTAGTTCTACACATGCTGCTGCCAGTGAAAGTGTACAGCAATAATACAATAAAATCATTAATTTTTAAGAGAAAATCCCAGTGTAGCCACGGTGTAATGTTCACAAAGTGCTTACTGCTTTCATCGTAACTGATTTTACGTTTGAGTCTTTTCTTCCTTTACTACTGTTCTTGTAAAGGTTTTCTCCTTCTGATCTGCTTGAGAGTAGTTGTAGAAAGCTGTTTTATCTCCCTGCTACGCTGTCAGCAGTGCCAAGTTCTGCTTTGCAGGATGTACATGAATTATTCTCTCTTGTATAGTGCCAGAGATTGGTTACGTAAGCATAAGCAGGTTTTTGTTCCTGCCACTCTTCAGCCAGGTAAGAAAGTGACAATTAAAGAATTTACAATCGTTTTGGATTTCAAAGAAACACAGGTAAACGATGCTACCCAAAACACAAGTTCACGTGAACAGTGGTGTTTTAGTGGCTATTTAAGAGAGAGGAAAGCGGGAGTAAAAAAGGGGAGACAGAGAAGGCAGCAAAGAAGCATCAGATGGATACAGTTAATAATCAGAGCACTGCTACTCAGTGCTCATGAGAGCAATTCAATCTGTTCACAGTGAGTTATCTTCAGATTTCAATCATAATGTAGGAAAAACCATGCTGGGTCAGGCCAAGGGTCCATTTAATTCAATACCCTGTCTCTGGCAGTACACAATAACAATGCCTAGAGAAGAGTTTCCAGAAGAGAATAAGCACATGGGGTACTTTCCTGATATGCTCTTTTAGCCTCAAGGGATTTGTACCACAGCAGCTTCCTGAAAGATGAATTCTCTCGGCTGAACAGTTCCTCATGGATTTTTGTTCTATTAATTTGTTCCTTGAAGCCATGTAAAATTTGGTATCTCTAAGATCTTGTGCTCATGAGTTCCACAATTTAGCTCTGTTGTGTGGAAGAATGCAAAATTTTTGCTTTATTTTGAACTCACAACTTGAAAGTTTCACATCATTCTCCATTTTCCTGATGCTGTGAGACTGTAAACACAAAGATCAGTTCATCCCCTCTATGTCATTTGTGATTCTACAGACTGCTGTTGAATCCTCTGTCAGCCTCATCTGATGGCTGAGTCTTAATGACGAATCTTAATCTTTTTGGTTTACTATAAAAGAGTTCAATAACCTTTATCGTCCTTGATCTAGGAAAAAAAAGGTATAAAAGTACAAAAAAATCTCAAAATGCAGGTCACCATATTTATGTTTAATTTGCTTTCCACCCTTCCCCCCATTTCTTTTCACAATGCTTATAGTTCTGTTTCCTAATTTGACTGTTCCTGATTACTAAACTGAACTGATATATTTACAAACTATTTAATTACAATGTTTCTGGGTAACAGGTCATTCATAACCCCTGTTTATATAAATTTAGCTTGTTTGTTTGTTTGTTTTGCAATCTGCATAATTTTATACTTACTGGCACTTTTATATGCTATTTTGACAACTGTGTACTCAATTCCACAAGGTCCTTCTGCAAATAGCTCTATTTTGGCTGAATTGCTTAACACCCTTGTCTTGAAGGCTTTAATCTCACAGACAAATTTGTCCTTTCTCTATTTCGCTCCATTTTCCATTTTCTCAGCTCTCTCTTCTGTTTCTTATCTTTAAACCCATTAATGAGAGCAACCATAAAAGCACCTTTCTTGTGGGGGCTTATTTTCTACGAGCCTTTGGTAAGAGACTTTGTCAAGTCCTTTGGAAATCCAAGAAGATTGTATCCATTGGACCTCTCCTGCATGCTCATTGAATCCTTCAAAGAACTTTCTAGATGGGCAGGTCAGGATTTCTTTTCAGAAAAGTCATGCTGAGTCTGCCCTTCAATGTGATATTTATCCACTTATCTTTTTGCATTCCTTATTACAGGTTGCACATTTTCTACAGACTCACTTCAGTATCCTGAATCCTTCTGGAAGAAAACTTGTTTGAGTGCAGTTTTACTGCTTCCAGAGCTCAGTTTGTAAGGCTGAACAGTATTGTGCTGTTAGCTTTTTTTCTTTTGAAGTTCTCTGCAACATGCTCCACCATAGAGATGCGTTTCAAGTTATCCTTAAATTACTGCCTTAAACTCCTGAGGTACAGAGCAGAATCCATGGCCTGGGCAAAACTAAGGAGTAGGAGAAGGAAAGGAAAGGGAAAGAAGAAACATTTCCTGACCTACAGAGGATTTGTGCAAAGCCAAACCACCAAGTTACCTAGGATATATAATAAAAAGAGATTTTTTGTTGATCTTTTTATTTTATTCAGAGCCAAATTGCCCCTGGACTTGCAAATTAAAAACCAGAAAAGGGATACAAAATTTAGAAAAGCTACAGAACTTACCTTAAAACTTGCATCTTGCTGCAACATATGAAAACCTGATGTTGCCATTCGTAAATGTGCCATACAGACATATTTTTGCAGTGTTGGTTTGTATTACCTCGATCTATTACACTTCTTTATGTAACACTCCAGAAGTTATAAGGCAAGGGGCATTGCATCTTTACCTCTACTCCTTCCCTCTGTTGTACTGATCCATCAGTAAGAACTTACCTTTTCTCCAGTTTGAATATTTCATTTTCATAGAACAAGCCATTGTTCATTTCAACACCATTTCATTTTCCATTAACACCAAAAATTCTGTGAACACTTTACAGCATTGTTAAACTTTAGAAGTTTTAATGAGTAAATTTTTCACAAATATGAGAGATTTAAGTAATTTATATGCTCCAAGTCCAAAGTATTTCCACAAGTTCTAGGGATTCACAAGGGGAAGAGTTTGTGTTGTGCACATTATCCAAACCAGAACTGAGTAAACTCACCTTTAAATCACAGAAATATGAGGAACTGCTCTTGTGAAAATGAAAAGGCTCTACAAAATAAGGCCAAAGGAGGAATTCTGAAAGAGGAAACTTGTAATTCCGTAGTTCCACCAGGGCAGAAGCCCCTCTTGATACACTTCACAGGGTTTTCTCTCACAAACCTGGTCTGCATAAAGAACTTGGCTGAAGGTAGGTAGGAACCACGTTTTCCATTTAAGATAAAGTTGGCATTCTGAGAATTTTTTTTCCTTCTGAAATGGAATGAAAACTTCGTGTAGTAAAGTGTGGGGAAACCAATTTTGATTCAAACAAAAAGTATAATTCTGAACTAAATCTGTGTTTTACTTTGTTCCTGATCTTTTAAAACTTTCAAAGCTCTTTGTAATATAAGTCCTCTTGAAATGTGTTCCACAGTTATTAAAAGAAATTGTATCTTTTCAAAAAAATCAGAATGTTATGTTTTGATCTTTCTGAAATACTTTGCTTCTGCTTAGCTTTTGTACTAAAACACAGTCTTGCATACTTTCTACAACTGCATGTAAGCACACTGGCACAAACTTTAAAATAAGGAAACATGAACTTTCATCTACAGTATTCTTCAGGGAAAGCCTGTGTCTGATTTCAGCCACAGAACTAAAACTCACAAGAACAATTAAGAAGGTAATTGCAGGATACAATTTCCATATAGCTGCCTTGCAGAACTGGGAACATAGTTGTGGAAAGTTTTTAAAGTGAGGAAAAGTAAAACCTTTGGATGAGAATCAGCTTGGTGCTGTAGAAATTTCCTAGCAGAAAAAAAATATAGTGTAAGTATTGTATGTGTATTTACATACAAAGTATTAGGGGAAGATGATTTTTAAAATTGTTTTTACTTCAGGGAGGGACAGGTCCTTTAAAGTCTTCTGTTTGGGGCTACAACAGAATGATGAGAGAAGCTGAAATAATAAGCCATATACACAGCAAGCAATGGTTGCAATTATTAGTCCTCTTTTGGGAGAGGAGAGGAAAGTTAAAATTCTTTTGTAGAAAGATAAAGGCACTATTGCCTGTCTCGTAGTCACAGGCACAGATCACCTTGTGGAAAGGCTCGAGCGGGATGCAAAGTTTCACTGGATGCTACTTCCAGATAAACAAGATCTTTTTGGAGCTGCATTTTCTCCTGGTGCTTGTTTCCATCCTCTTGCCGGTTTTCATCTCCTTGGGTACATCAACTCCACTCTGTGTGGGCTCTGCTGTAAAACGGATTAGGAGAGGGATCTGGGTGTAAAAACCACAGATAAAAAGCCCGGGAGTCGGAAGTGATTGCTGTAGATGCTAAAGGGCAGGAAGCGTCTCAGCTGGCACCCTCACAAAGCTGTACAGGCCGCACAATTACACCCGCAGAAAGAAACATTGAAAAAGGAGAGTTGAGAAGAGATAAAAGGGGAGGCAGCCTCACAACATCTGACAACCAGGAAAATGCTTAAAAAAAAAAGGCTGAAAGGAAAAGTTGTGCAAGTGTGAGGGTAATTGGAGCCAAATAAACACAACTGTCTCCTGCCCTTTCATTCCCACCCTCTCAGGGAAACAGCACTTTATGCATTCTTCCTAAATAAGCATTTTGTGAATGTGTCACTTATTTCTACCCCAAGAGGGAGAACAGAGTTTGTTTCCAGCATTTCTTCTAGGCTTCTGTCTTCCAGCTACTCACCTCATCTCTCCTCTCCTCTCATCTGCCTCCCCATGGGGCTCTTCCAGAAGGTTCTGTGTGGCCACACCTTCCTCACCTCAGCACTGCTGGGCCGGGCTTCCTTTGTGTCACAGAAGGTGAAGTGTCAGTCACACTACAGAGCAAAGCCTTCAAAAGGCATTTAAACTCCCTCTAAATGCCTTCAAAGGGCACTTGAAGTGTACCAGAGGTGTGACAGGGGGCACGGGGAGATGCCATGAGCAGCAGCAGTGGAGCCCACCCCAGCTGGCTCCGTCTGAGGCTTTACCACCTGGACCATGTGAATGAATCCTGAGCTCTCATCAAAATCAACCCACTCCTTCACATTTGAAGGGAAGCACCAGGATTCCTTGCCAGCCCATTTTCCCCACCGAAGGTCACTGCCAAGTCACTTCTTTGTACCCCACCCAGGCCTGCTTGAAAAGTGGCAAAAAAGTGAGAGAGGGGAAACATTTGATGTTTTGTGCTGTTCTGGGTTTTATTTTAAGGGGGGAAAGAAGCAAGCTGAGGCTAATTCTCCACACAAGTTCGTAGAATAACAGAACTGTTTAGGAGGGAAAAGGCCTTTAAGATCACTGAGTCCAACCATTACCCAGCATTGCCAAGTCCACCACAACCTCCCTGAGTGCCACATTCACCTCTTTTTTGAATACTTCTAGGGATGGTGACTCCACCACTTCCCTAGGTAGCCTGTTCCAGAGCTTGACAACTCTTTCAGTGAGGAATTCTAATAGCCAACCTAAACCTCCCCTGACACAATTCGAGGCCATTTCCTCTTGTCCTGTCACTTGTTACCCAGGAAAAGAGGCTGAGCCCCAACTCACCACAACCTCCTTTCACAGACAGTTGTAGAGAGTGTCAAGGTCACCCCTGAGCTCCTTTTCTCCAGGCTGAGCTCCCTCCAGCTCCCTCAGCTGCTCCTTATACGACCTGTGCTCCAGACCCTTCCCCAGCTCTCTTGCCCTTCTCTGAATGCACAAAGTTAGACAGTTAATGATAAAAGCCACTCAGCCAGGGCACATGAAAGACTCACTGCAGAACTGCTTGGTTTCAGTATGAAAACTAAATCAATATTTGAAGATTGACCTAATGTAGGGGGTTGGTGGGGTTTTTTTGTGTTTTTGTTTTTTTTCTTTGTTTGTTTTGGTGGTGTAAAACATTTGGGGCCAAAAACGCCTTTTATTTCAAAGCGGTAGAATTAAATTGCAGAAATCAATGTGAAATCTTGATTTCCCTGGTGTTACTGGAGGAGCTTTGGAGTGCCTGGAGAAAAAGGAGGCAGTGAGGCAGCTGAGCTGTGCCAAGTGGAAAGCCTGCTTTCCCAATCTCCAAAGTACAACCCGACTGCCTCAAATCCTGCCAGCCCGGAGCGGGGCTGACACGCAGCGTTCCGGCACTGACGGCTCTCTATAAAAAGCTCAACATCCTCTTTGTACTTTAAAGCCATGTTGAGGTTCCCTGATCTAAATTAAGTCAAGCTTAGAAAGGCTCCAGAAGCCACAAACCAGCCAGGAATTTTCAAGCTGTTTCCCAGGTCCCGCTTACCTGCAACAGGACTAAGAGCTGTTGGCTTGTGGTGCAGCTGATTCAGACGAAGACGATAAAAGGTATGTTTTCCCCTTGAGCGCAGGAGACATCACCCCATGACCCCCTGCCCAGGCTTTGCTGGTACCGTGCTGGTGCTCACAGGGAGCTGGTGATCCCCCCAAGTCCTGTGGCCGCTCCCGCCGCCCTCACCTTGGGAATTTCGCTTCCTCGTGGCTCCTCCTGGTGGCAGCAGGGAGACCCCTGACCGCAGGACCATCACCAGCCAGGAGACCCCTGACCGCAGGACCATCACCAGCCAGGAACTCAATGCTTCTATTAGATACCCTGAATTTATATATTTTTATAGGAGATCCACCACGTTCTCAGTGGAAAATGGTACCTGCTGCAAAGCACACAGGAGCACAGATGGATTTTGGCAAGCACACCTCTGGGGGTAAACTATTAATTAAACTACCATTAATGACTTTGAACCAACCCATAAGTGCATTTCTATAAACAGATATTGGTCCATATCCCAAATTATCACTTAATCTGAGATAATGAATTCTGCACCAAATTACTCCATGTCAGTCCTGTCATTTTTCTGTAAATTTTTATGTTTGAGGAGGATGCTTTAGCATATAATTGTGGTGAAATTAGGCTTGGCAAGGGATTACAGCAGCTGCAGAATCTCTTTGTTGGGCTAAGCATGTGATCCAAGTCTTCTAAAAGATGCTTGAACGTGCCAAGATCAATACCAGAGGGGTAAAGCTTAGGAAAAAATGGGCTACAAAGGACAAATCCTGCTGGGTAAATCAGTCTGGTAGTGACACACTAGTGATGTCACAGCTGGTAATGGCAATTTGAACAGCCAAAGCAAGCCAGGATGTGGCAGCTAGACAGAGACAGGAGTCCAAGGGCTGGCAGTGACAGTGACCTCTGAAGAGACAGCTGGGAGACGCGTTTGGTTTAGGGACATGGACTCTACTCTCCAGCCTGACTGATAATGAAAAGAACCAGACAGGCAACAAGTAGATGAGTCTGTGCCTTGAAACCTGCTGAATCAAAAATTTAAATTAATTCCATAAAACACTGATTTTGACATCTGCCACAGGGGCAAGATTCTTTTCTTTATGTTGCTTTTGACAGAGACTCTAAACTGCTGTGGCACCATACCGTGAGCAGTAACAAAGCCAAAGTATTCCTCGTTAATGAATGGCCTCTAGTCACTGAAAGGAATGGGCCATGGGCTATGTACAGATTAAAATTATACCTTATACCTCTCACAGTTTAACAAATGTAACCAGACATTGCTGTGAATTTGTTTTCTTTTATATTAGGAAGTGCCAGTTCTTTGGAATCCTTACCATAGAACCAACTTTGGTAAAGGTTAGTTGAGAGGCTGGAACTTTAGTCAAAGTTTTTAGGGCACTAACTGGCACATAACACCAACACACCACCTCAACAACCAGTTAAAATCCTTGCTTTGCTGTTCTGCTCCCTCTGAAGATGCTCAACAGTGGGCTGGAAGTTTGCTGAGCACCATGGAATGGTAAACCTGCTTATCAGGTCACTCTCTAGCATACAGGGAACTCATGGTCATATCCTTGAACTAAACTGAAAGTCTGCTCTAAGTTCTAGACACATGCCCTTTTTCTCCTGAAGTTTTACAGTTTTTTCCTCGGAAAGGAGGTAGTTTAATAAAGAAACTATTTCCCACATAACCGTAACTTCCATATTTTGTTGCGATGTGTTTAAAACTGGAACACGAAAAACTAGGGGCATGTTTAAGTAAAAGGTTTATTGTAAGAAAGAGAGAAAACCTTTCCATTTAAGATTAATGCAAGACACTATTTACTGTAAAAGTCACAACAGTGTACGATAGCCAAGCAGTAACAGCATGCACCCCCCTCCCTTTTGGAAAGGAAAACTCACCAAAAGACTTTCTTCAAATGTGCATGTAAAGAGACACAAAGACAAATTATAGAAAAAGGTACCCATTTATTCAAGGTATGACAAGGGTATTTACAGTATTCATTTGCTCAGAATAAGATCCATCCTTATGAGTTTTAAAGCAGCGATTATAAATTACATTTAAAAGGGGAAACGTTCCAAGCATGTTTCTGTTAGAGATATTTTTACAAGGACAGAAACACTTTAAGGCTAAGTTGTTTTGACCTTTGCTGCCACCCACATTTATCTTGGCAAAACCGTCTCAAAGACAACATTACCTTGAGGGATAAAGACTATGCTAAATTCAACATAACAATTCTGTTCCCTCGGACACTTTTCACAACAGTTCACGTGTGACAAAAAATTGACTTTTGATTTCAAACAATGACTTAAATATAAGTGAGATGACCTGCCTACATCCTGGATTTTCAGAGAGCTAAAACATCATACACAGCAACACATTAATCACCTCAGAAATACATCATCAGCTTCCCTGTCGATGAAGGTACTTCAGCTTACCAAGCAATTTGCTGCCAGCCAGGGCTCCATAGTCATGTGGTGCAATCCACCTTTCCCATCACATTATTTTTTGAGAGACAAGAACAAAACTTCCAGCTGACTTCTAAAGTAGATCATGATCTCTGTCTGCTTTAAGCAGCACTTGGTTCCCACAGCACAGACTAGTGCCCTACCAGAACAAAAAGGATGACTTTGCTAAGCTGCTGTAATGTTATTCTGTAGTCACTGTAACACACAACAGATCTACGGGAGCAGTTAAAATTGGGTTATCTAAAATGGTTTATCTCTTGAGGTAGAGCCCACAAATCATATTTAGTCCTGTCTGTAAACTATAACACACATGCCATCAGGCAAATATAGCCATTTTTGGTTATTTATAGAATAAACCCACTGATTTTTTCAGATGTCAGTCACTGTAAATATAACGGCTTTTTCTTTTTTTTTACTGAATAATTTTGTGCCTGTTTGAGAAAGAAGCAAATTTAATATTGACAATAGTGGATTGTAGTCATTTATATGGTTGTAATGAAAATAAAACATGTCATACAAACAAACTTCAGAGCAACATTCAAAAGGGTTGATATACGAGGATTCTTTTTAAGTTAAAGTTATTTTGGAAAATTTCAATTTTAACTGCACAATAAAGAAAAAAAAACCCAACAAAAAACCAGTCATTAGACCTGTAAGGCTACATAGCTACTTGAAATACTACTTTGGGGTAATTTGTTTTAGGATTAAGTTTGAAAAGACAGTGAAACAACAGAAACTCCCAAGGCCTATAGAAATACAATTCACTGAGCAATCATGGTTTCTTAGGTGAGGACACTACATAGCTATTGAAAGTGCACAACGTTAACATTCCAATGACCTATTGAAAGTGCACAACGTTAACATGTTAACATTCCAATGACCCGTGCATTAGTAGGGGACATTTATTCCAGGTTAGCCAAGAATCCTCTGTAACAGCAACGCTGTTGCTGTGACCGATAGAAGTTTTAAGTTATTTGAAGACAACCCAAGTGAAAAGCTACAAATATATGGAGATTGGCACTCGACCTTTAGTCAGCCCCAGTTGCTCAGTTTTCTCCCCAGAGACTCACGTACACAGAACTTTAAGTTTCCGTTTTATTACTGTAAAAAATAAAGTCAATGTGTAGTTCCAGAGTAAACAAAGAAACCTTAGTTTCAAACTGTTTAAAAACAAAGGTCCAAATTCTGATAAGTTACATTTCACAGGGTTCACATCAGCACCTCAACCTAATGCATTTTTTTGTGAACTAAGCATATCTTACACAGGTTTCATGTTACTGACAAGGGGGGCTACATTCTCCTCTGGATGCACATGTAACATGACTCACGGAGAACAACCTGGAGGGAATGCAAACCAGTTTCCACAGTTCCCTACTGAGCTCTACATGTTCAGAACCAGCATTTAAGACCGAAGTTATTAAAGATTGACTTTTTGCATATTCCGAAACGGAAGGCAAATACAATCAACTAACATTTGGCTTTGAAACATTAAGATAACAATGTTTTATTTCAGCCACATATTTACAAAAATGTTTGTAACAGGACTGCGTAGGGTTTCCTTTTAATTGTCATAATACACTTATAGATGAATAGTCATCTTAACCTTCATGCAAAGACGCATCTCTTGTTACACAAGAAGTTTCCTGTTGGATTTTTTGCACTCTGAGGATAGCAAGCAGAGGGTTGGGTAAGTTTGGGTCACCCTTAAAAATGTAGGCCTGTTTGCTCTACTGCACCTTCAAAATAAGGAGGTAAAGCACAGGCACCGTTAATTCCACAAGGGTTCATTGCCTCTAGCATGTTTTTCAAAACCAACAAAAATAGTCTTGAGCAGTTGTAACATGGGTTATTCCATGACTTTCACCTCTTCAGTTTACTTCCTGAACTCTGGAGTTACTTTCCTAGAAGCACACTTGCCGAGCTTCTTTTCTAATGTATTTTGTTGACTATACATTTTAAATTAAACTGTTATGTAAAGAATGTAACAAGCTTTTTCCTTTGTACACAACTTAATCTTTGTGCTGAGTATTCTTCAAAAGGATTTTATAAATAATACAGTAAGTTTAGAATCAGTCTTCGGCCCTCTCGTCATTATACCATGTTGTTGCTCTCTCCAACTTTATCTACAAGCTGCAGAAATGGAGACAAAAAGATTTTAAGCTGATGAAGTTTACGTACAGTGAAGCTACTCTCAAATATTACTTGCTACTTGCACAGTTAGTATGTGACTGGAAATGAGAGTCAAGTAGTACTCACCGAGGTCTCATGGTTTAGGTTTGTGAAAATTAAAAAATCTCACATTGCAATTGTGTTTCTGCATGACACGTTTGTCTCATATGGACATTAACAGTGCAACATGAAGATGCAACAGAATGAGAAAGGAAAAAGAAGAAATGCAGATAACACTGCCAGCTTAATGGTTAAAACAAAACAATACAGTCTCAGCCACACATGCATTAGTAGACCAAGGAAGATATTTCAACTGACCATTACTGTGGATTCTCTTCTGAGCCTACGTAGGCTTTGAATAAAACATTAACAATTATCTTTTTAAAACAAGATTTAACCCCATTATGATCAAATTAAATATGACTAAAAGAGATCAATTGACAAATGAAACACTCAATTGATCATGAATTATGAGCCAGAACTTGGCCTAACTGTGAGACTGGAACAGATGATCTTGAACACTCATTTTTAAAAACCAGCCTACCCATCTCAGTAATTCCCCCTATTAATTTTTAGTAGCAGCTATTGAAACTGTTGCTTTCAAAACTAGAGTTAAAAATGCTTGTGTTAAAACATACAGAAATTAGCACAGTAAAAGTAGTTGACAGAAACACTCTAGATTACCATCTCTGGCACCAGTTAATTGTCTTCAAATCCCTGATTATTTTGTTAAGAAAATGGAAACCTCCATTTGAAAAAATACGAATCGTAGTAATGGCAAGATGTAGCCTGGTGCAGTAAACCTTAACAAATATACCTGATGAATGATTATGCATCATGAGAGTTTCTGGATTTGCCCTACAAGCCGAAATTTAACACTGTACTCTACTGTTTGCTTTTACAGGCCACTTTTCATAAATACATCCAAACACTGCACAAAGAAGAACACTGTCCTTTTCATCCTATGGGCAAAAGGAGAGGCACAGGGCAGTGGCAGGATTTGCCAATCTGGTCACCCAGGGCCAAGAGTGAAGCAGAAAAAAACCCAGAGTTCCAGGTCACAGTCCAGGGCTCCTCCCACTTCACAACACGTAAGCAGAGGCAGCTTCTGAAATGTGTCCTTCTGTTTTTACATCTAGAAGTCTCTCCCTGGGAATGAATGTGATCTGTGTGGTGCAAGCAAGAACTATACAGGAATGCACTCAAAGTCATTGCTCTAAAGTTATATTTGCTTTATTTCTGATGCATTTCTACTGTATGAATGGAATAAAACACAGCAGAAGCTTCAATTGTTGCATGAAGTACTGAACACTTACCGAGCTTATACCAGGTAAATTCAAGAGATATCCAAGAACTGGAACTCTTCTAATAAAGCCAACCACCACAGGAAAGAACCCCCTTCAGGTAAAATACCAGAAGATTGTATTAGTTGTTGTAATTAAGCAATTCTCATATTGCTATAACATGAAAAAATAACAGCTGTTTTTAAACCAATTAATCTTGGAGCTTGTTAGCAGCTCACTAGTTTACCAAATATATCAACAGACATTCAGCAAAGAAAGGAGAAAAACCAGGAAAGAAACACCTTATTTTTAAACTGACTTAATTTCCTTCATAGCTGGCAACGCTCAGTCAGCTCATGAAAAAATAACTCAGGAGAGAATACCCAACTTATGTCAACAAAACTGATGCTCCCAAATGATTCCTCAAAATTACCACACATGTTTTGAGATAATTCCTTTTTACATTATAGGAAATACATTCTTGTAAGACCCGATATAGAAACAACTGAAGTTAGTTCTGAGTAATTAAAAGTATATTTGGTACTCTTTACATTAACTGAAGAAAATGAAGCATGACAGAGTTGCATATTCACTTATTTCCCAAATTATAAAAAGTCAGAGGTTTGAATCGTGAGCCAGGGGATAGTGCCTGTCATAGCTGTCATGGTGCAGGCCCTGCACGGTCCACTTTGTCTCTGCAGCAGGAAAACAAATTTCCTATGGCAGAGTCAGCTGTTTGCAGCCAACTGCAGCAGTTCAGCTGGAGGTGGCATTCCCACTGACCCCTTGGTGAGCGATACATTCCCTGTGTACAGTAAGGACTAACGTGCAGTGAGACCTCAGTCACAGCGAAACAGTGAAGGTTGACAAGTCATCATCCTCTTCACCAAACTGCTTAAAAATATTTTGTTGGGTAATATCAATACCAAAAAGTTTTTCTTGGAGGTTTTCTCGTTTTGAAGATTGCATCGTTTCAGTGGCCCAGCAAATTGTGATGCAGGGCACACAAACCACTTGTAGCGGATAGAAACAGCTGGTGTAGCCAAGAAGAAGGAACAGTCAGTACAGGAAGGATAATATTGTTAGCCATAACTCTGGGTGCCTGTAATCTGAACAAGGCTCCAAAAGCAGCTTAGATTACAAGAGAAACTGTCCCATACTAGCCAGGGAAGTTTCTGTTATGCAACCAAGCAACAGGATCCTGAGGGATCGGATAAAATGATGCTCGAGGAAAGGTTCCATTTGTAATTTCTTCAGAAGGGAACAAGTTGCTGAAAACACCTGAACAAGACTGAAGGAAAACAAAAAACTTTGTTTGAAGTAGTTACCAGCCAACCTTGAGGCAAGGGATTCAGATTCTAACAACTATTAAGCACTAGAAAATATGGTCGTAGAATCAAAATCATTAAGGTCGGAAGAGACCTTGAAGGTCATCCAGTCCAACCACTGGTCTCCAATGGTCTTGAGATGTTTTGAATCCAGATCAGATAAACATTCCCACCTGGAATTATCTATCCCTTGTTGATACTCTTCAGAGTAAGGGATAGTTCTAGTGAACTAGGGATAACTATTGACCTCTTATAAACCCTCCAACATTATTTTACCCTGTAGCCCCTGGCTAGCACCACTAGATAATCCATAACCCTCCATGCCTAGACATTTGTAGTGGTTTGAATCTTGTTTTCCCCCCAGAGGCTAAGAAAAGTGGTAACCCCCAAGGGGTGGAAACCCCTGGAAGTTTTGAAGTTCTGTCCAATGGGTGCTCCTGCAGAAATGTAAACATATCACAAGCAAATGGAAGAGACGAGTTGTAGTTTGGTTGGTAGGTGAGGTGGCCATGTTGTAGGAGCCACGAGGAAAGGGGCCCAGAGCCCCTCGGGGCCTCTGGGGCCCCCCAGCCCCAGTTGGGGGCTACAGAGACTTGGAACAGTGTTAGACTGGACTAAGTGTCTGTAGTTAAGCCGGGAGATGTTTTCTCCAAACTGGGCAGCGGAGACAGAGCAGAAAGCAGAGACGCAGCATCCAGAGGTTTTGGCTAAAAGCCAACTGATAAGACCTGAACTGGAGAAGCAGCAGAAGCTAGCAGCTGAGCTACAGAGTTCTGGGGGTAAGAACTGATACCAGACCCCTCCAAAACTCCTTTGATCCCTCTGAGAAAAAGAGGGAGATGAACTCCTATTTTGGAGAGCAGTTTTGGACATGCAGCACCAGAGAGAGAGAGAGAGAGAGAGAGAGAGAGAAGAGCTGAGAAGCTCAGAGCATCCTGGGAAGCTGGACTGGGACGGAGAGGAATGTGGAGGGGTTGACCTTGGCTCCCCCCTCGCACTGCTGCCAAGGTGGCAGCCTGAGGCAGGGCACAGAGGCCCTGTAAGGAGCTTGAATCTCCTGGAGATACCAGACTGTCACGAAGACCCCCTGTGCTTCGTGATATGACCGTGGTGATAGCGACCTTTGTCTGGGGTGACACAGCCCACGGAGGAAGACCCCTTTGCCTGTGTCAAGGTAGCTGAGGGAGCTTGGATACCTCCCTCGTGAGTGCTGGCAGAAAGCCAGCCACAGCTGCTGCATGCATGAGATGAGGAGACCTGCTGCCTTAGAAGAGATTCCTGCTTTGGGACTGGAAGGGATCTGTCCTTCTTTCCCTCCTGGACTTTTATTTGGAGGGGAGAGGAGATCTGATCCATTGTAAATACTATATGTCATGGTAGAGATAGTTGTGATCATGTGTATAATGTGTTATAGTATTTATTTGTACAGTCATTGTAATATATTCCCTTTCCCCCATTCTGAGTCTGGTGTGTTTTGTCTGGAAAAACCCATCTCACATTGGGTTGAGATGTGGGAGGGGGAATGGAGCTAGGGAATTGGATTTTGGGGGTATCTCAAACCATGACAACATTGTAATTTATAATTCTTTTGAGATCCTTTAAAAGGAGGGGGTTTGGTTGGAAACACACTCTACTTGCTTTGTACTGGCTGATTAAACCCAAGTGCTACGTGCAAGAAGTGACAATGTATTCAGTGAAATACTGTGATTATCAAAGGACTTGCAGTGATAGAATTCAGAGTAACACAGAGTAGAATAAGAAACATATATTAAACACGCAAAATTCATTTTCTGAAATCCCACTGTCTTCAGTAGGAGACAAGTTAAGACTTTTTTTTTTTAAAAAAAATTAATCTAAACTAAATAGAAGATTAGCAAACAATTTTACTGAGTGCAAAAAGAATACCATGAGAACAGTGGTCTGACTTTGGTTAACAGCAACTGTATTTTTAGTCAGTTGCTGAATATTCCAGGGTCTGTTACTCAATCAATAAGCACTAATGAAACAGTCTTCATCTGGACAGAAGTCCAAGAACAACTAAAAGCCTCCCTGTTTACTTCTGTAGTGAGTACGGAAGTTCAACCATGGAAATAAAGATAAAAATATAGATATGTATGCCAGTTGTAACAAGTCAAATTCTTTCACCATTACAGTTGCATTTATGAAGAACTTAAATGACACATTGTGAAAGTTACAACATGTATCAAGTTTGCTGTTAAAAAAATTAGAATTTCCATTTTTTCCTTAACTCAGTTGAGATGACACTTAACCAAACCAGCAGTTTGGACTCTATTAGGGCACAAGTGTAATGAAACATGACAGAAAACATCTTTGCACTGGGCTGCCCTAGTAATGAAATGGTTACAAACCTAAGGATGGCAGTAACCAAGTATTTTGCCACATTTGTTAAAGAAAAGAATAAGCTCTCCACCAAAAAAAAAAATACCAAGTATCTGCTTTTTGTATGAGGAAATATTTAAACTTTGAACTGCTAACAATCTGAGTTCCCAGCTTTACAATTCTTTGGTCAGACATCAACTGAACAAAGTCAGTTTGGCATATGCCTTGCAAACATTAGCAGATTTGAGTCTTGGAAAAATATTTATCAACTTTCCACCTCTAGCAAATGTAAATTAACAACTTTATTTAAAATCTGTCAAAACAAACATTTAAAGGATGCTGCTTTGTCAACTGTAACACAGAAGCACTATATGAATACATTTATTCCTAGATACACCAACACAGAAAGTTATTTTGAAACAGGACTTACCTGAATAATAGGAAGAACCCATAAATTTCAAGGATCATTCCTATTAAAGGCCAACCAATGAGAACTATGAGCACACCACCCAGGAAGAAGCCTGTTGCTTTCATTTTGTGTTTTTGAAAGAAGAATCTAAACGTTCTTTCTAAACCGATAACAAAAGACAAGCCAGCCACAAACAAAACCTAGAAAAGACCAAAGAAAGAAAATTGCTAATTATGTCCCCAAGTTTAGGATGTAAATATATATATGTTTTACAAAATTAGACTACATTTCTTGTGCCAATTCTTTTAATACCAGAGGACAGATGGTGAGAATGAATTTACTATTGATTTTCTTTTTGTAAAGTCCATCTTGCAGCATTTGTAGCTCTCAGCTGCTTAAAAAGTGAAGAGTCTACCTTTGTGGTCTCTGACAAACACACTCAAGACAAAAGACCTACTGACAGCAGTTACATCTGTCCTGTCACATAAGTACAACCATTACCACAAGTGGTGCTGAAGCTTAGTACCACTGTCAGGAAAGGTTCCTAAAAACTAAGAACATAAAAGCACCTCTGTTCTGTAGCACTGACATCTTCAACAGCTTGGACTGATCCACTCGTAGTGCAAAGGCAAAAAAGGAAAACAGCTGAACAGCATTTTCAGGTGTTTTGGGTTTTTTTACTGTATTGAGTCTTTCTACTGTTTATTTGTTCCAGTATAGACTGAACACTATCACTGTTGTCCCAACTAGTTGGAACTATTTGTAGTGTCCTGCAGGAACAGGACTTGAAATTACTTCAGCGTTTAAGTACAAATCTAGGCAACACTTTTTCTCAGAAAGTGGTAGTATCTCAGATTTTATTAAGGATTATAGATGAAGTTTAAGTTTATATTATTTAATAAATCACTTTCTTATCACCTCCTGCCCTTCCTAATTTCTTTAAAAAAAACCAAAGGAACCTTTCTGCAAGGATACAGTACCTTTTCTTGCATTATCTTTGGTTACCACATAGCCTGCCTTTGGCTCTTCCTACCTATGTTTTCATCATTTTCCCTAAACAGGATCTTGTATTTCCACCTTACATTAGGAGAAGAAAAAAATAAGCATTATTTTATTTTTTACTCTTCCACTACACAGTCGATGGATGGTTCATAGCAATGCTTCAGCTAATGCACCCCGAGTCAGATACACAATTTTTTATTTCCCTTCAGTGAATCTCAGTATTTGACTCAGAATGAACCCGATCAGTTTTGCCTGCAGACTTTTAGGTATCAGTAAAAGAGGGGGTGAACATCTACCAGCCTGTTCTTGGGCTGGCTGGTGAAGCTGAGAACAGCAGAGGCACAGAGATTAATTATCACATGCAGAAAACACCCTGTCATTTTATATTTGCTTTGGATTGGGAATTCTGTGTACCAGACCTAGGATTTATTTTCTGTGCTGCATTATGCAACAACTTTGACTTGGTAAAAGCTGAAGATATTAAATCTCTCTGTTATGAAGGCTCTTCTAAACCCAAACTACCAGTAATTCATACTTCTTTCTTTCCTTATAAAGCACAGCAAAGCTACATTTGCCAGCACACAGAGAACACATCACTATTCTTATCCAAATATATACTTAAAATTGACAGTTATCTTACAAGATCACAAAAAAGCACCTCAGTAATGACAGCCAATCTAAAAACCACATTTGCAGCAGCACAACAACTGTGGAACAAGCTGCTTCTTGTCTAACCAACATCCCTCAGGCCTGACCCAAGGTATGATATTTAGATCAGTGTGAGCTGTTCTGACTTCAATCAGGAAAAATGATTCACTCACATCATCCAGCATAACTCTTCCTTTATCCAAATTCACCACAGCAGTTCTTGTGATCCAGCTTCAAACTGATAACAGACTGTTCTATTTTTAGTTTATCTTTAATATATCACATATTTAATTCTAAGGACTGCAGAGAAGGCACTTACATTTCCAATAGCCAAAAGAGCTTTGTCAAAGAAGAGTATCATTCCAAAGAAGAGGAAAAACACTCCAAAGCCTGTTAGTCCCATTCCAATCTCTGAAAACAAGAAACAAATTTAGGCATGTAACAAAACATGATACCAGGAAAAAGTCACGTGTAAAAACTGTGAACAAACTTAGGATGTCCAATCTAAAGATATTTTAAATTTAAACACTTCCCCAAGGGTACAAATATAGTAAGTCTTGTAGACATCAATTAATTCAAAACCAGACAGATCTTTGGAAGCTGCTTATCAAAAAAGTCCATATTTGGAACTATACACTAAAATTGAATGCAACCAAAAATCATGCATACATTCATATGGCAAAGACATCCCTTTTGATTTGTTGCTAGTGTGGAGAAAAGGACTGTTTTGTAAAGAGACAACAAAACTTTGTTTTCCGTTTCCAGTTCTTATCCCGTTATCTTTACCCAGTAAGGTAAGTACCCTGCTCTTTTCCACCCTCCTGAGACTTCACATTCCACCTCCCATAACTTTGCACAGCAGTCCCACTCCCCCCAGTTTCTGGATGGAACACAACTCAGATGAATCTGCGGGATTTTTCCAAGCTACACTTGTGCTGACAGCTATCAAACACTAGCCTGGGTCTCCAGACAGTTGCCAGTTTTCACAAAACTAGTAGATAAACGAAATATTGAGGGATTAATGTTCAATTATCATTTTCATGTTTCTTATTTCATTTTCCATAACTAAACATTAGATTTTGATAAGATGCATTATCTCTAGACTACTAGTGTTGCATAACAGTTTCATTTTATGTGATCTTAACATACAGATTTTTTTAACTACCTTTTGCAGTTAATGTCTTGACTTATACTGTGGTGGTCTGGGCAGTGCTGGGTTAACAGTTGGACTTGGTGCTCCTAAAGGTTTTTTCTAACCTAAACAATTCTATGATCTTTGAGTTTTGTAAAAGTTGCTCAACAAATACTGGGAAGGCAAGAGAGTAGAATGGAAGGTTTGTGTGAAAAACTGGACTAGAAGTGTGAAGCTATGATTAAAATTACCACTTGACAATAGCCTCTAAGGTATCTTGAAGATGATGCTTAGAAATACATCCTGCTTTCAATTTTAAACCTCTAAATCCTTCTTTTTGACTCTCACACAGATTGAATGGGATAGAAAAACCTGGAACAGCAGCAACACGGCTGCAAATATCTTCGCATCTACCCATGCACTCACCCTTACATTATTGCTATCCCTGGGACCAGAGAATTTAGAAACCTTCAGAATACATAAATTCTATACCAGCCCTAATACCACAGACAGGCTGGCAGCCCAGGGTGTCTGTATATATATGTATTTGAAAGTTCCAAGTAGTTTTGCATAGTCTATCCTGAAACACAAAACAACCCCCACCCACACTGTCACAGCCTTCCCTGCTACTGCTGGTCAGAGCTACCTAAACATATTTTAATTACACTTTGGACTGCAATTGTAGATTGAGTTGACTGTTTGCTGTTGCTTGAAGAGCTCAGGAGCAAAGGAGGATCATTCTGCCTGTTTCAGAACTTCCATTTAGTTATTGCAAATAAATTTCCAGACAACTCAAAGAGGTTTGTTACAGCAACGTTCCACTTCCCAGACTCCTGCAAGGGCTCAGCTTTCAGCAAGGCTGCAGGGTACGTGATGTTAAAACTGGAGCTCTACATTATCTCATGCCACTTTAAAGTGTTACTATGAGCATTTTAACAACCCACAATTAAAACCACTAAGTAACCTGCCACAATCAATTTACTGCAGACGTTCTCAGCACTGGTTTACAATGAGAAACAGAATTGCAAAGTCTATTTTCAACGGATCTGCTGACTGAAGGCAATATAACAATTGCAATCTGCCCTTTTCTCCAGTACTCTTTGCTTCAGAAGAGCAGAAACAGCCTGTATTCTGGAAGGGAAACACTTGGAGGCAGGACTCAAAGGAATGAGCAGCTGCCAGAAAGACAAATATGCAGCCATGGGAAGTGAGCATTCGTTCCTCCCGCAGACACAGCACAAGGTATGGATGTGGCAGGGAGGCAAAGGCCAACTCCCAACAGCTGCTGCAATCACCACTCTGACACTTCTGTAATCACTTCTGCTACAATGGATTCAGATTCACTTTAGCAGCCACCCATATTCTCTAGTTGGTGGAGGGAAAGGGAAAAAAAAAAAGAATACCATTGTCATTGTCCCAAAATAACTGCTGGAAGATGATGAATGGTCCAGGACTATTATTCTCTGTTGTTAATATCTCAGCAGAAGGTATTACTGACTTGATTCATCTCAGAATGTGGAATTAGATTCAACTAATGTTCTCAGAGGAATTAAAAAAAAAAAAGAAGTGCTGGCATTTTGTACAAAATCTTTTCAACAACAGATTATGAATATTTATAGAGGGAGCAAACTATTTTTAAATGCTTTCTCCTGTGCCAGGAGAGCTTTCCCACATTAGTCAAATACAACATTTTAATGACTAGAACTGCAGACACATAAACTAGCCAGGTTGCATTTACTCTGTTTTTTTTTTAATTTATTTTTAATTATTATGAGAGGAATGAACAAAACTTCATCAATGTTTCTGCACAAATCCCATAAGCCATCCAAAAGAACTGCAGCACTGTGTCAAAACAGCTTAGTAAATATTAAGACTTAAAATTAAGCTACATTGCTTGTGAAAGTTCGGGCAATGCACATTCTCTGCCTTTTGAGCACAAAATAACATGGAAATGTGCACTACAGGCTCTCAGAAAACAAAAAATTACTGGAGTTTACAGATTATGAAAAGTTTCGATGTTTATCATTTTGCTAGCAGCATTTTTTAGTATTGAAAACTGAATTTGCTAGGAGAAAAACTAAGTGCATTCTTTTGCAGTTACTGGTGGTTTATAACACCATTCAACACATTGTTTAAAAATTATGCCCCAGACTGCAGCTGCAAATTTAATTTTCCAAGCATCAACCAATGCAGTGGTTCTCTCCAGGTATTTGACACACTACTCCACCAGTGACTCTATGGTTAACTCTATATTTTTAAAGACAGCAGTGAGTTTAAAAACATCTGATGAAAAATCTTCAGAATTTCAGAAAAAAATGTGAAAAAATACCACATAAAACCCCCTAAACTTCATAGAGTTTTATTTACTGTCTTGGCTCTGTCAGTTAACGCCTACATTGTCAGCACTGGAACTAGATAAGGTCCCAAATGAGGAACTAGGAAACAGTGAATCTCTTCCTGAAGATATTTTTCTTTTTTTTTTTTTTTTTCCCAATGAATACTCTGGACAGGTTAGGGAATGAACAAAAGCAAAGCCCACATGGATTTACTCAACCAAAATCTCTAAAGTAACCCAAAGGGTTAGTACCCATCCCACTAACAGAGCACAGCACTCAAGTTTCTCAAGAAATCACTGACCCTGGATGCTGCTAACCTTTGCTGCCTGTCTTCATCTTTGGCCTTGACTGGCACTCCAGTACCTCCATTTCCAGTATTCTGCTATCAAACTTAGCTATTTTAACTTTTTTTTCTACATTTTTTCACACCCTCCTTCATAACTGATGCTGTGGTGCTTATCAGGCAAACTCCTTTCCTTTTGTGGCAATCAGGCCAGAAATGCATCATGCATGAGATGTTAATTTAAATCAAAAACCTAACAGTCTCCTTTACCTTGCAGCTTAAACTCTCATCACACAATCATCAGGGGTGGAAGGGACCTCTGAAGATCAACTTCCTTGCCAAGGCAGGGTCACCTGGAGCAGGTGACACAGGAACATGACTAAGTGGGTTTGGAATGGCCCCACGGAGGGAGACTCCACACCCTCCCTGGGCAGCCTGTGCCAGGCTCTACCACCCTCAGTGTAAAGATGTTCTTCCTCACATTGAGGTGGAACTTCTTATGGTTTAGTTTATGACCATTGCTCCTTGTCCTGTCACTGGGCACCACTGAAAAGGGCCTGGCACCATCCTCTGGCACCCGCCTTGGAGATATTTATGTGCATTGATGAGATCTCCTGTCAACCTTCTCCTGACTAAACATGCCCAGCTCCCGCAGTCCATCCTCATTAGAGAGATGCTCCAGACCTCTCATCACCTTTGTGGCCTCTGCTGGACCCTCTCCAGCAGCTCCATTTCCCTCTTGCCTTGAGGAGCCCAGACCTTCACACAGCACCCCAGATGTGCCTCACTAGGGCTGAGTGGAGGGGCAGGATCACCTCCCTCGACCTGCTGGCCACGCTCTTCCCAATGCACCCCTGGATCCCTTTGGTCCTCCTGGTTGCAAGGGCACACTTATGAACCTCTTTACTTCAATTTCTTTGTACTTTCCCCTTAAGCATATCTATTTCCAAGTACTTCTATTCACTGAAAACAAAACTAGTCATATACAAGCAGTTTTTATTTCCCACTCCAGACTGAGTGTCTCGTCCTCACCTCACAGCCCCCTCAGTGTCACCTGCAAACATCTGGTGTGATAACAGCACCAGAAATGCAGGGAAGCCACTCGCACCTAATTGTTTCCAAACCACTGACGCCCACAGGGAGGCACACGGGAGGACTCGAGCTAAGTGATACTTTTGTTTACCCCTCGGCTTTCATTCATCTATTTACAGGGACTAGACAAGAAGCAAGGGGTACAAACTGAAAGCGGGGAAATTTAGGCTTGATATGACGATGGAATTCTTTATTGCGAGGCTGATGAGGCACTGGCAAAGGTTGCCCAGAGAAGCTGTGGCTGCCCCATCCCTGGAACTGTTTAAAGCCAGGCTGGATGGAGTTTTGAGCAACCCGGTCTAGCGGGAGGTGTCCGTGCCCACGGCAGGATGGTGGAATGAGGTGATCTTCAAGGTCCCTTCCAACCCAAACCTCCTGTGGCTCTCACAGCGCTCGCAGCCCGACAAACGCCGGCAGCGCCGGTGACAGAGCCCTGCCGAGGGGAGGGCCCGGCCCTTCCCTGCATCCCCACATCCCATTCCACCCGCCGCCTTCCCTGCCAGCTCCCGGCACGGTCGCGGCTCCCACAGCGCGGGGGTGCGCCTGGGCGAGCCCCGCCGGCCCGGGATCATTCCCACCCCGCCGCTGTTCCCGGCGGTGCCCGTGGGATCAGCGGGATCCGCTCCCGGAGCCGCCGCCGCGCACAAAGGGCCCGCCGGGCCCTGTGACCCCCCTCAGCCCCGCCGCCCCCAGCCCTGCCGGGCACCGCCGGCAAAGCTTACTCTGCGTGTCGGACAGGGAGATCATGGTGGCGGCGGGAGCGGGACGAGCGGGACCGGGAGCGGCGGGATCGGGATCGGCGGGAGCGGCCACGTCTTCCGGAAACACGCACCCGCCGGGTGAGACGCGCCCGCCCATTGGGCAGGGTCGCCGCCAATCAGCGGCCGCCTTGCATCGCCGCGCGGACGCGGCGCCACGCGGTGATTGGCCGAGGGGCGGTGGCGGCGGAAGGGGCGGGGCCTGGGGCGGCTCAGGTGGGACCGGGATAGAGGACCGGGATAAGGGACTGGGATACGGGAGCGTGTCCCCGCACTAACTCGTGGGTTGAGCGGCGTCGGCCCGGGCTAGGACTAAACCCGACGTGCCTGAGGAAGCGGCAGCGAGGTGCGGAGGGTCCTGCTCCGCCTGCCCGGCCCTGGCAGCCTCTGTCCCTTCCTCCATCCTTCGCTCTCTCCTTCCCTCCATCCGTCTTACTCCACCCTGCGCCCGATGAGCGAGTGCTTCTCTGCTTCTCCCTGGTATCCTCCCTCCCTCCCTCTCTCCGTTCATCATTCCCTCCATCCATCCCGCTCTCCCCTGCCCCTCACCTGCCGAGCAGGTGCTTCCCTGCCTCCCCCGGCAGCCTCCCTCCCTCCATCCCTGCCTTCCTTCCTTTCTCCCGCCCCGCCAACAGGTGCTCCCCTGCCCGGCCGTGCCGGCCCCGTGCCCGCGGCTGATGTTCGGGATGGGAAAGGCTGAGACGGCCCGTGTGGTTATTCAGGCATTGGAATGTATTCCCGGGGGAGGCGATGGAGTCGCCATCCCTGGATGTGGCGCTGGGCGATGCGGTTTAGGGGTTACAGTGGTGGACGGTTGGACTGGGTGGTCTTAAAGGTCTCTTCCAACCTTCATGATTCCATGATTCTGCCAATATCCCTGTATTTCCACCTCCCTGCTGTCGCTTTGGCTCTTTTGTGCCCTCCTCTTAGTAGTTTCTTCTTGTTTTTCTTTTAAGGTGCCCTCCCAGATATCCGTATGGGGGATTTTGTACCCGGCTGAACTCCTGCTGAGGTGACACATCCTGCTTGTGTAATTTCAGGGTTCTGGGTGTGATAACCCTCTGTTACCATCACTTCTCAGGGTTGGGGCAGGAGGGGTTTGGTGTGGAGACTGGATGAAGGAGGGGTAACAAAGTTTCCAGTGCTGGGATGTTGTTTTCTGTCAGTGCAGGGTGGGAGGTGATGCTGGTGACTTACCTGTCTGCCTCAGGCCACTGTGTGTCTGCTCAGAGGCCTCTTCCCTGCTCATGGGCTCTTTAGAAATGGGATGAATTCACAGGAGCTGAGCTGTTTTTACAGTGGGGTAAATCTGCCAGATGGGCAAGATACTCCCACTTGCTTTTCCTCCACTGTGGTGTATAAGCTCTGAGTTCAACTTAAGTTTTATGACCTCATATTAAATTTTCAGGGTGAGTCAGTTGGCACTTAGGGGTCTTTGTTGGCAGTGGCGGTACAGAATTCTAAGATATGCTGAGCTACTGCTTTTAGAGACAGGCACTAAATCAAAGACTTGTGGAGCTTTAGCAGCACAAAGGGAAACTTCCATAGTTTCATTCCCTTCCCACTGCTTGGATAAGAAAATGGCTCTTGTTTCCTGGGCTCTCAGCCCAGTGATGCTTGTGAGGTTCATGTTTACTGGGGGCAATAGCAGTAGTGTAATGCATTTTACAGTGTGTCTGTGCCACTCCTACTGATTTTTCTGGATGTCCCTGCTTGCTCTGTACTTTGGGGACACTGATGTTTCCATATATCTTTGTGCAAGTGACAGGTGGTATAAAGACAGAACTGTGTAGCTCAAATTTGGTGTGTGACCTGGACACTGCTGAGTTATACAACAGTCAACTTCATTCTGAAGTGGGAACTTTTAACTTACTTTTAATCATAACCTCTTCTGGCAAAGCCAGTGTTTTGTTCACGTGTTATCTTTAATCTGTATTTTCTCCCCGTTTATAGGACTGCAGTAAAATATTTGTTATGGTAGAATCAGCTGATAGTGAGGATCTGCTGAATTTGTTCCCTTTCACCTCCCCTTGGCTTCCATATATATAACAGTTCAGAATTCAATAACAGAGAGAACATCAAATTTCTTAAGTTTGATATTGTTACCATATGGTATGACAAAGAATGTTGTTCAAAAAATGAGCCAATAAATAGAATTTGAAGTTAATTTCACTGATGATCTAATACAAACTAATCCCCCTTCTCTGAACCAAACTACCTTTCTCCATCCTCCTAGCAGATTCTCTAGGTGTTATGGTGGCTGCTTCTTTAAGGGGATCAGTATAATTTGTTCAGGCTTTTCTGTGAAATAGTATTTGAAGAGACAAATAAAAAGATGGGTCAAAGGTATGTGAGTGGCTGGTCTGTGTCTGACTCTCAGAAAATTTATGGCTTGGATACTTATCACTTGGATTCATTTAGAAGGCTGTCAAGCTGTTTTCTTGGGAATTGGTTGTGAGTTTGTCCCTTTTGCAGAAGGGAAAAAGCAGTTGTCATCTAATGGGGCTTGTTTATGTAAGGAGATTAAATGAACCAGTACTTAAACTGTTAATACCGATGTTAATGAAGAAAATCTTGCAGTAAACTTGTTCTAAGTTTAGAAAGTTTGCTTACAAAATACAGCATTGTATTGATTTTTATTTTCTTCTTAGTTAGCAGCTGCTTGGTTAAATAAGGTCTCCCAAGGATAACATTTGTTAATCTCCAAAGATGACAGCTGTTGCAGGTAATCCACACTTAGTACTCAATATGTTCATTTTGCTTTCTTTTAGCTAACAGACACTGTCTCCTGAGTTTGTGGGGTCTATCCTATTATACTTCAAATTTGAGGGAAAAATTTCTTTTACTGGATAACTTTTATTTCTTAAATAAAAACTAAAACAAAATGCCCCATCCCTGGAAACATTCAAGGCCAGGTTGGATGGAGCTCTGAACAACCTGGTCTAGTGGGGGGTGTCCCTGCCCATGGCTAGGGGTTGGAATGAGATAGTCTTTAAGGTACTTTCCAAACCAAACCATACTATGATGACAATCAAGCTTGTCAAAGAAGTTACTTGGTTTTCAATATTCTGAAAACCTGCTTCATATTTTAAGATACTTTTAACTCCTGCTGAGGTAACAGTGGGCATTTAGGAAGACAAATGTCCCACAAATGTCCCTATTTTGTGCCATTTGAAATGAGGATATCTTTTTCCATATCATACATTTTTGCTTCCACAAGCACGTTATCATATCTCCTATGGTTGGATCAAAATCTCTTATTTTGGGGGTTGTTGGGGGAGGAAGTAATTTCTTCTTATGATTTTCTGACCTGGTTCTGAAATAGTGATACATGCTTGGCATTCAGGGGTGTGTGTTAGCTATTCTTTTAAACCCTGAGGACTGGATTCTAGAATGCAATCTGTAATTCACACAGATGCGTAATAGGATGTAAAGAGGCAAATTCACTTATGTAACCCAAGACTTTAGGGAGTATTTACTCACTTTTTTCAGATGTGAAGGGTGACTTGTCTTCAAAAAAGTGTTTTTTCTCCATATCCAAACCTTGTTGTTCAGTAGATCCTCTTGTCCTGCATAGGAGGGAGATCTTGATGTGTGAAATGTAGCTTTTTGAAACGTCCCTATTTCCACACCCAGAAGACTTTAACTTGCTGAGGTTAATGCTGCTTCTCACATGTAAATGCTTTCTATTAACAATGTTCTCATGTTGTTGCTCACCTTGGGATTGGCCTCATCCTTGTCTTCATTGGAACTCTTGCAGCTTTAATATCAGGCTGCAGTGTGCTTTCCACTGCTTGACATGCAGCTGCAGGAAAGAAAATAATTCCAGGTGTTTCTCTGGAGAGGCACTGCTTTTGAGAAACTGGATTTTTATTTTTTTTCTCTATTAGTCAACACAGGCAATAATAGTGTTGCATATCTCTCATACAGTGTATCAGAGATGATAACTCACAGTACACCTGTGTATATAAGACCTACTAATAGAAGAAATAAGTTTTAAAGCCTTGACAGGTATTTTTACATGGCATGTACACTGTTAGATGTTATCATCTTCTCAGTGCCCCTGTCAGGCTGTCTGTTTCTCCAGATGCTTTTTATTTATGTTTAGGTTGGGATTGTTCTCAACCAACAAATTAAATGCAATTTAAAACTGGGATTAGCACGTTACTGAAACCTCTGCTGTGCCTTCACCTTGCTTTTCCCTGCAGTGCTAGAGGAGGTGCTGGTTTCCATTGAGAATGAGCTGCAAGCAGTGGAGATGCAGATACAGGAGCTTGTGGATAAACAGCAGGAACTCATTCAAAAGAAGATGAGAGTGAAGAATCTGATAAAACAGTCCTCAGGAGACTTGGAGGCAGGTGGAAGTAAAGACACTGAAACCTCAGCCGAGGCATGGAACAAAAAAGGTTTGCAGAGTCAAATTCAAATATTTTAACAGAGAGGTAAACTAATTCAGTAGGGGAAAGTGCATTCATAGAGAGTTTTGTTTGGATAATTATATTGTCCTATTTAATTTTCATCAGCTGGGTGACCTGCTATCCTACATGGGGTAATGTTTGTACTCATTGGACATTTCTAAATACTAATCTGAGTTCTGGGCAGAATTACTACAAGAATGGCTTGTCACAACTACTTCTATTCTGTCCTTGTTGCAAAGTCACAACTTGATTTGATTTGCTCTAAGAATCCTAGAGTAAATTTTTATTGCAATGCCTGTGTACTTAAATTATATTGCAGGGCTAAGAGTTGGACTCAATTCTTGTGGGTCCCTTCCAATTCAGAATATTCTGTGATTCTGTGGTATCACAATACTTACATCCCCACTTTGTGCTCTAAAAATAATTGCTCTGGATCGTCTCAAGATTTGAGAAAAACAGTTTTGCACTCTGAGTTCTTTCCTGCTTGAGTGGGTAGAACATTGGTGGTGTTTGACATGGGTTATGCAGCTTCACTGTTGTTCCAAATTAATGCAAATTAGGTGGATGCTGACTGCCAAATTAATGTAGAATACATTAGTATGGTGGAGTTAGTGCAAGAGGCAAGTGCCCCATGGTGGTCTGAGGGCTGCTGTCCTTTTAGA